CAAGCATTCTCCTTTCATGCAATAGAGATTATGTGACTCCCTTTTGGTATCGCCCATCCCGCCTGCCGCATGTTTTATGAGTGGTCACAATAAATGACTCCTTTTTCCCTCGTTGTTCCCTTCCGGGGGGGGTGTCTGCCTTGCCGGTGTTGGCTGCAGATTTCACTTGCTCTTCCTGTCGCATGACCAGTGGTACGCCTAGATAGCGGGCTGTACGTCTTTGTTTGGCGCGTCTAGCGTGATTCCTGTCGGTGTTGGTCCTGCTCCTACTCGGTTTGTCGAGCGCTCTCTCCCTCTTCTCGCCGTTCCTGCTCCGATTTCTCCCACACATTGTCTCGTCGAGCTGCCCGTCTCTCCATCTCCGTACTGTCGACTGTCTTACTATTGGGAGAGACAACCAACGACGTATCGTCGCTATCTGCAGCCTCGTTGGAGAACGAGGCAGCTCGAACATCCCTGGCGACCGGCGTTCGTGCAGCATTAAAGGCCGTTCCGCGAGGAAGCTGTTCGATCGTCGCCACTTGTAGCGATACGATCGCTTTGCCGGTCACCATCTTGGAGTCGGGTAGTGCAAATGTGAAAGTGATGAAGACAGAGAGAGCTCGGGGCACAGGTCGAGGATGCCATGTGGACGATTCCTGTTCTGAGGACGAGCTTGATGTCCTAAGCCGCTTACGTAGTATATTTTTGAACATACCGGTACTCTACTGCAAACACAGCCCCACGCTCAGACTTGGGTAGTCCGTTCTACCTCGTTTTACTGTGGAGGCTTTTGCTGACGCATGACTTGAGACGGGAGCAGTAGCTGTGGCGACTTAATGTCATCGCTTAATTCGAGTTTTTTAAAAGAAGTTAAATTTTTTATTAAATTTAAATCTTTATCTCCATATATTACTAAAATAGAACCTTGTCCTTTTAATTCTGAAAAAATATGAATAGTTAAGTTTTGTTTTAAGATTAAAGATTTATAATCTAATTTCTTAAGAATTTTTTTTAAAGATATTATTTCGTTAATATTTAAATCATTATAACGAAATATATATATATATTTATAAGTTTGTTTAATTTTTTTGTAATTGATTTAATTTATATTTTTTTAAAAAATTTAATTTTTTGTTTCAACATATTTTTTAATTAACGATCAATTTCACCAAATACAACATCTAAAGTACCTATAATTGTAACAACATCAGCAATCATATGATTTTTAGCTAAAAAATCTAATGCTTGTAAATGTAAAAATCCTGGTGATTTTATTTTACATCTATAAGGTTTATTTGTGCCATCAGATAGACCATAGCAATCAGGCACTGCGAGAAACCTTTTGGTACCACCGAAAAGGTACCATCAATAAAAAGGGTCAGCTGAGGGTACCGTAGAATCCGTAGTAAGTCCGGATGCCCAAAGCAGAGCATACGCTGTATGCCGGCGGTGGTGGGGCGAGCCATGCTAAATTGTAGGAACGGGCGCGGGTCTGAGTCGCTAATGCTTCGCACCAGTGCAGCCTCAATTGCACGGAAAATGTCGCCACCGGTCGCACCTTGGCGTACGTTTTTGATGATCGTAACACCACTCGGACGCGCAATACCGTAGATAGTTGACGGGTGATGCTTGGTACGGAAACTGTCAAAGACGCGCTGCCACAGAACACCAGGTGCAACAGCGAAGTCTTTAATGGCGCGATCTTGCAGCTCCAAAGACATGTCGTGGCGTACGTCTGCGACTTCTTCTAACATTTCTTGGTCGCAGCGGTGAAATTTTTTTTTCGATGATAGTGCCCCCCTTCTTGACTACAAGACGTGCTGGACACCCAGTCCGGAACTTCACGCAGCTGAAATAGGTTGTTCCTGTCTCCGGGACGGTGTGCTTCTTGCAGAAGCGGTAGTTCTTGTGCTCCATGGACAAAGTTGTCAAGTGACAATAAAAATTAAAACAGCTATGTGTTTCTGCATGATTGGTTCCCGTTAACTTTTAAAAACCTCAATCCCAAGTTCGACTCAAAATAGGTTTTAGGATATGTCCTAAATTTCCGACAAAAATACCGGTTTTTAATTTTGGACAGTATTAGGATTGTAGTAGTATATTGCATACTCAGATAACAACAACCAGCACCACACTACTTATTTCATTTTCTAACTCACGTTCAGCTGAGCGTTAACCTCTAAATGACCACCTTGACGTGAAATGGGCACCCACAAAACCAGGGAACCTCCACCTGTACCAGGCAAACCAAGAAATCCTGGTCGCCAGCGATCCATGTACAGAGTCTTCCCACCAAGCGTAGTAACGTTCGACGTCCACTGGGCGGTACCCCCTGCTTTGAGCAGGACTTCGCCAATCTTGTCGCCGCCAGACTTGATATTAACAGTCACGTCCTCGGTATCTTTGCTCTTCAAGTTAATAATGACGGCGCCGTCACCCTTTTTCCTCCAAGAAAGCGTGCTGTTCTTAAAAGCTTTATGAAGTGCACCCATTCCCAGGGTGGCTAGTTCGTCGCCGTCATCGATTTCACCCATAAACTGCGTAGGACCGCAGATAGTCTGCAGGAATTCCGCAAACAGAGTCGACAAGTCCGTTGGGTCCCAAGCATATGAGGCAAGCCAGAGACCATTACGTAGCCAGGTATAGGCGTTGTATTTCGCAGCCATGTGCGTACCGTTGTCACTTTTGCCAGACTTGATGAGATCGTTGATCATCACTGTGTAGGCTACGTACTGAGCGAGTGTCTGGCGTAATGGCGATGGTGGCACTGAAGCAGAACTTTGACAGCAAGAAGAGCATGGAGCTGCTTCACCGGCGTTTTGGTCACGCCAGTATGGACACTGTGAGAGTACTTTCAAACAAGCTCAATGTTGGAGTAAAGATGAATGCGAATGGTCTTAGCTCCTACGAATGTGTTGCATGTGCGGCTAGCAAATCGAGACGCATGA